CGTGATTCACTAGTTTGCATAGGAGGCAGTTGTGAACAGTTGGTGGCAACATCAAAAACCTACCGTACTTCAAAGTCAGCGATCGCTGAGCCACGCAATAGGGTTAAGGGTCGTAGCGATAGAAGTGAGAGAGAGAGAGAGAGAGAGAGAGAGAGATAATGCTAGGGTGGTGGGGTACGAGAGCAATTGAGAGGGACGTCGAGGTAGGAAGGGTGAACGAAAAATAAATGATACCCGAATTAGTGTAATCGCGTGATAGTTTGCAAGGGAAATACTCGGCGCGGTCCCCGACGGAAAATTGCAGGGGACGACAAATTGCATTTCAATTTCATTTTGGCTTGAAATAACCGTTAGGACGTATTAAGGTGGCTAGAGAGCTATGTGATTAGAGTTTGACTGTGCATAAAGATGATCTCTGGTCGATCAGTTGATAATGACTTTACACTAATGAGATCTTTTTTTTTTTTTCCTAGAAAATTAGGCCAGTCACTCAGGCTTGTCGCAGTCTGTCTATAAGGTGGACTGTACGTCTCGTCCACTATGTAACCTTGTACGCGCCATTTGGTAAAGCTGGGAGGTTACTCGCTTTTGAATAAATTACAACGTGGTGACCGAGTACACTCGTGGGCTTCACGTATCCCGACTGGATCTCGTTGTTTAACCCAATGACAAAGCGACAGGTTCGCCGTGAGTCCCATTCACATTGAATGCCGGAGCCGATACAATGGCGGAGGTACTTCGCTTGGTGGGCTTAAAGTACATTCTTCAATAATTCACAATACAAATTCAGTGCTGCTGACGCCTCTGTTGTAACAAGTACACGTAATGTGTTGTGTATATTGGATGGATAAGTACCTTTATACAAAATAATTATTGTGTCCCATTAACTTGTGAAAGATTTTTGAATATTTGACAAGTTCTATAGTCAGGTTCAATCTCATGTAACTTTTATCTTTCTGCAGGATATACGTTTTCCAATGACAAGAATGTCGTCGCTAGTGAATTTGTCTGTCCATTCAGTTGGCGCTGACGCGTCACCTGCAACGGACTGTGATCAGTCAAGCGACGTCGGCTTGTGTTTTGCTCTCTATTCCGTTCTGCTTCCAGTAATTAGGACTCGAGTGTAAAACGAGAGAGAGAGAGAGAGAGAGAGAGAGAGAGAGAGAGAGAGAGAGAGAGAGACAGAAGGGGAGAAAAGGAGAGACAGAGGGATGACACTACCCCTTTTGTTCCGCCCTTTTGAGAGACCGGTGGAGCAGCTAGTAGCAGAGCGAGTAGCGAGTAGAGCGAAGTAGCATTTTCAGGAGGCACAAAAGGAAATAATGACTAGTCCAGTGTTCAACTAATATTTGCCTCCGACTTTTCTGAGATTTCACGGAGATCCTACGAGAATGCTTGGGCAGCCTTTTGTCATGAAGACTTTGAATCTCTTCGGACGTCGCAATGCATGAACGTTGGGATAAAACGTCGAGTCCACGTATACGTCTTTTACCTTCGCAGCCGTTGAGGGCGAAGGAAAAAAAAAAATATTCACTTTTCTCCCATCCAAACTATGATCAGAGTCGTATTCTTTTGGTTCTTCTCTTGTCTTCTTTGATCTTTGGATACTGGATAACTTCTTTTACGTTCACGTTAGTGACTGCGGGGTCCTGATAAATACACAAGCGACAAAGTTTTAGACTTTTTAATTGATTATAGCATTTTCAATCTTTTGGATTAAATTCCACGCGTAGTAGAGTTTCTCTCTATATATTTCCAGTAGTTAAAAATATATATAGATTATCGCGCGAAGGATTATAAAATACATGCGTTATAGTGTTAATTCTGAAAACTTTAGTAAGACTCAATAGAAATTCAATTAACCAACTGAGGCTGAGGGGCTGACATGGTGAAGAAGTAGCTGGAGGAGAGTCTTGCGCTTTACTGTAAACGACACCAGGTTGACGTATTTGTCGTCAGGGATGAGAGCATCGTGAGCCTGCCCAGTGAATTCACCCCTGTAGTCAGTTTAGTGGTACCGATTGTGCGGGGTGGCGCCGTTAATGGTAGTGGGGTTGATGCCGCCAGTGGTACTGGGGTTACTGGTGGTCGGCGGTGGTCGGCGGTGGTCGCTCCTATACTCGTACCAGTACCGACGACGGTGATGGTGCCTGGTGGTGGTGAAATCGAGTTAGCCAAATTAACCATGAAATAGACTCCCTCCGCCCCAGTGTCTGTGTATCTCGTCAAGCTCCCATGTTCACCTCGTCGTTATGCTACTTCAAACTAGCCTCAATATTGCCTGCGTAGATTCTCCTATGTGCCTTTACGCACACGGCCTGCACAATGAGACGTGCAAAATATTTGGAGTTCCATTTGGTTCTTGGTGTTCGTCCTTGTATCCTTAATGGGTTTAGAAAAAGAAATTTCAACTTCCGAGGGCTAATCGTATTTCTTGCCAGTTCTCAGAAAGGATATTTACTCGTGATTTGGAATAATCTTATGTCCATCTCTCTCTTACTCACGTGAGTACCCATACGTCCGTCTCTCTCGCACTCGTTGCGAGAATAGGAAATTATAAAAATTTAATAGATACAGTAAGGCCCTCTTGTCTGATAAATAACATTTCAATTTCAGCTTTCGATTGGATTTACATACCGCTTGATGGATTTCATCTGGATTTCAGTACAATTTCTGTGACAATGCACTTGAAGTGAACTCTACATTCTGCACCGACAGCTGCCAAACTCCGTGCGCATTTCGCCGCTCTTGCCCTGCCGGGATCGCATCTCGTGATTCATGGACCCGGTGATCCCATTGACAAATAGGAGGACGGAGCCCGGCCTTTTTCTCATTAGCGGCACTTTGAACTAACCCGCCCACCTTATGACAAACTAGATTAATTTTATCTCTTAAAGAAGACCGCCTTCTTCGATCGTTTATTAGAAAATTACAACTGTCAGACAAGCGGATCATTCCGGCTCTGCGATGAACTTGATGTAAACGGAAGTGCTGTCAATTAAGAATCTTGCGGCTACGGTACTTCCTCTTGTACTTTTTGGCTACCTCATGAAATTAACTGCTAGCGCTCTGAGTACTCGTTGGTTCTGTTTACCTACGTGCAGCAGTGCGAGATACGACAGTGCTAGGGAATTTCTGACAATACCCTTTATAGCTGATTACTTTGATGCGTCGTTTTATTATGCACTGTGAAGAGCATATATGCTTTGTATTTTACAAGTATCTTGATTGCGTCATGCTATTCGTATGCAGATATTCAATGGGCCCTGAAAGGCATCTTATTGCATAATTTTACTAATGAAAAAAAAAAAAAATATAGAAATGCAGTTCGAAAGTTCAGGAGTGGGATACGCTGCGGTTTGGATGGTAGTTTTTAGAGGGATGTTGAGGAGGACGTTTATAACTCACGTCAGGCAGGTAATTAGCCGCTCTTGGCCAGCTGTAATGGACCTGCTAAGGCACTAAGCGAGACCCTTAACTTATTTAAATGAACCAGTAACCCATGTCGGTGTCCAACGCCTGCCAGACACGAGGGTAATATAGAAAATCCATTTATAAGCCACTATATTTTTGGATACGTTGTTACGTATTTTTTTAATTTACTTTTTTACTTATAATTCTCTATTTTGAAAATTCGTTACTTTTTTTATTTTAATTTTAAAAAAATTCCCACTGTCACAGACCGTTATCGATGAATGACGTGAGGCTCTTGCTGAGACGAAGAGGTTGGAGGGTCAGCGAATCCTTGTCTGTATGTTCGAAGGATTTTAATGTAATTCGTCCAGAGAGAGAGATATTGATTTTATGTTGAAGCGTAAAAGTGTGATTTGAATTTTGATTGCGGCCTGGGAGAGATCGCGTAACAGGATAGTGCACGCTTTGCCAGGCGCACAAGGGCCCTTCAAACATCGCTTACTCAACTAGAAAATTGAAGGAATACACGCTTTAAAGCGGCCAACCGATAACGACCAAGACGAGCCCGTTAACGATTTTAGAGAAGCTCCTTTGGTCCTTTCGAACGTCGTATTGACTCCTTCGTTGCACTTGACCGAGTCCCGAGGAACGCCGGGAACGAAGTACCGAAATTAGTCGACAGGTGACACCGGCGTCGCTCGTACGAATAATTTCACGACTCCGCGTTCCTCTTATTACAAGACGAATGGGAAGAAAGACGCTCGCGAATTCTAAGCTTTTGCGTAGGCGTAATTCCTAGAGAGTAGATTTCGCAAAGATTATAATCTTCGGCCTGGCATAATTGGATAATGATACGAATGCATGGATATTATTATAAATAGATGCTAATCCGGCGTTAGTCGTAAAACTGGATGACTATAATCTATAGCTCGAGTATAGGTATTAAAGTATCATCACAGACTGTTTCCAGGTATTGCATTTTTAAGTGCCCTCACATTAATTTCGTCCATTTTGTCAACGGACTCTCTGCATACGGCTTTTCTCAACACTTTATTCGTCTGCTTTTGAATTTACCTTTTTTTCCTCCAACTTTTACCCCCAAGTAGAATTACCTGGAATCCATGCAAAGAAATCTCATAATTATTATTTTCAGGACACCCGTTGTACGTATCTAAAGAACGTATTCATCTTTTCAGTATCTGATATCTAGATATAATTATCTACTCGCTTTGTCCATCTAGATGGACAATGGGGCAGTCGTCAGTATGTATTGTCAATGTGACGTAAAAGGCGTTATCTGTATCCTCTCTCTCTCTCTCTCTCTCTCTCTCGAGGCAAGATGAACGTGATGAAATATCGTTAAACAAACTGGCAGACGTAAAAGGCGTTATCTGTATCCTTATCTAGATATAATTATCTACTCGCTTTGTCCATCTAGATGGACAATGGGGCAGTCGTCAGTATGTATTGTCAATGTGACGTAAAAGGCGTTATCTGTATCCTCTCTCTCTCTCTCTCTCTCTCTCTCGAGGCAAGATGAACGTGATGAAATATCGTTAAACAAACTGGCAAGAGGAACAAACTAGCTGTTAATCTATCTGGTCCACCCTTACACACCCACCGTGACTCTTCCTGTCCTAAGAGCATTTTTTTTCCCCACTCTGGATCCGTGGTCCCTTTTTTTGGATGCTGCTCTAATATCTCGTGGCTCCAATTAGTTTCGAATGGTACCGTCCGTCCTGTCCATCCATCCCGTTGTTCTACGCTGTTTATTCGTTCACTCGTTCGTTCATTCCTTCGTTCATCGGTCGGACGGACGGAACGCTCGGATGGTCGGTTCCTTCGTAACCCTCAGCTTCATTAAGAAACGGTAATGCGTTTTGTTTCTCTTCTCCGCTCTGAGAAGGGAACGAGCTAGGGACTCTTTTAATAATCCCGCAGCACGCTCAGAGATTTATTATTTTCGGACTACGTTGCTGGATAAGTCCATATGGCTGATGCTTCTGCTTCTCTTCTTTCATCCCTTTTTTTTTATATTTTTTCTTTCACTTCACTTTGTCTCGTGGACTTTTGCGACGGTTATACTGATGATTTGGAAAATTGCATGGGTGTGTTGAAAAAATGGGTTACCGGTAGAAGAGTTTTTCTTCATATTTTTCTAGTACTCAGCTGAATGCACGAAGATTCTTTTTTGGATATATATATATACGATAGTACCTACTACTTTTTGCGTGTGTGGCTCGAGATTGGCTCCGAAGAAGAATTCGTACCACCATACGTAGAAGGCTCCGGCAGCCACGCTCGTTTGGTTATAATTCTTCAGGGACGAAGATATAAGCGCACTCGGGCCTTTTGATTTAACGAGGTGTAGTGTCGGTTATACTATAAACGGTATATCGGGCTGCTATAAACCAAACGGTCGAGTCGGTAAATTAGGAGCTGGAACCTCTCGCTAGAAGCCCCTAAAAATACAATTAACGAGTCGTTTAACGGGATCCTGCAGAGGTCGCCACATCCTTCTTGGGTTCCTAGCTCAAAGGACCTGGTCGAATGAAAAATCCTTCAGCCAATATAGGCGTCCTAGACATCCATTGGCTTCTATCGAGTTGAGTATTATTTATTTAAAAAATTTTTTTCTCCAAAGTTCATCGCGCCTCGTCACTTTTTCAATTGTCCTTATTTTATTTCAGAAACTCAGGATTAACTTTGTTTGTCATTTGAGTGAAGGATAGACGAAAGTGCCAGCGAACGAAAGTGAAATCTTACCACGAGACACAAAAGGACATGGACCATTTTTCTGTGCTACTCTCTTGTGCTTTACGTACTGCAGTCCAGGTAGTAGTACCAACGCTAATCCACAATAAATCACCCGTCGAATCTTTCGCTTAATGAGTTTTAGTGGCGGGTTTCACCACTCGTGATTCATTATCTTTTTTAATCAATTTATTCACGCCACGCTTCTCTTCGTCTTATTGTATCCGTGCTGTACCTACCTACCTACCTGCCTGCCTGCCTACCTACCTACCTGCTTTCAGACTATCGACCATTTCTCTATGGCTAACCTGATATTGTGCCAGCGTCGGATGCTTTAAAGTTCAAGCAACGCTTCTTACCTACGTCACCAGAGCCTGTACCGTTCTCCATGATCAAGACCTTGATACTTATTATACCGGCTGGTAATCCTTGGAGCCTGGCTATGGCGGCCATACATCCGTCATACGACTAAGAAGCCTGCCCGGCAAGGAAGGAATGAGAGAAAAGAAGGAAGAGAGATCAGAAGGTGTCGGAGGTGAAGCTCCATGGGGTGCGACCCCCGTGGCGAGCACGCGACTCCTGTCAGAGCCTCCGTTTTTAAAGAACATAACAGTTACGTAATGAGAACGACTCCCGTCCTTCATTCGGCACGGCGTTGCGAATATGGAATTTGATTGATTTTTCACGGTCCGATAAGGCGCGTGCGCAACTCGAAAATCCAGATTCTTGGAGTTTCGTACGAGCGAAAAATTCACCGTGCGTCAGCAGCGTGCGTTACTTGATATTGCTTTTTTTTTCAAATATCTAGTTCTCTCTTTTTTCTTGAAAAAATATATACAGTCGAATGGGAATCTGTAATGAAGTTAGATACCGAATTAGTGGAAGCTAATTATCCGGGAGAAAAAATTCGGTGAAGGCTGAACCTCGCCGAAAGACGGATCTATTAGGGCCTGGCTCTTGGCTACGGTGTAGGGTTAACCCTGTAATTAACCGGTAGCTCTTTTACTCGCGAGAGAGCAACTCGGAGCGTTTAACGGTCTGCTTTTATTGGCCGCTTATTGGTTATTTTTGGTCGGGAGCGCCCGGAGGCTACGGCGCCTTTGGCTGCCGGAAAACGGAAGTGCAGCGTCGAATCCCCGTTACACGAAAGGCGTCCGCGTGCCGGTATCAATGAGCGCGGTGCACCCTTGAATTTACAAACCACGAAATCTCTATTGATTCCCATAATTTGAATTCGTTGTACGGGAGCGAATCACCGGATGCGAATAACATGCTCCGTTTGGTCTCGCGTATTTGAAAAAGTTTCGTCTCTCGGCTCTTGTTTGAATTATTCGTTTCTTCTTTTTTTTTCTTCTTTTTTTTTTCACCACTTTTTATCTCATTAATTATTTATAATGCCGCGTCCTTCGTTTTTCTTGTTAAAATTCTTCGTGAAATTTTTTTTTTTGGCTTGCCATTTTCTGTTTTTTTTTTTCCCTTCCTTCTCGTTCCTTCCTTCGTATAATTTAACACGAAGGTGCGGGACGTGATTCTTTGTTTTCCACGGTAACAAAGTGAATGCGATGCTGTAGCTTTAAGTGAATTTTATCAATAATACCGAGGGAAACAGTTTGCCTGTAATTTATGAAAGACGGGACACGCGCGCATTCACGCCGCGCACGTTACGCATGCGACGCACGCGGCTCCTTTTCCTATTCGTCGGTCCGTTTACTCGTTGTCGTCAAGTAAACCGAACCCCGTCTCGTTTTCGGGCTCGATGGCGCAGCTACACTTCAGCTCTAGTGATGCTCGAGAGGGTTGCCGAGGGTTGGCTGTAACGGCAAACCTTTACAGTATCATGATTTTAGGATCGCACGTGGCCAACGTGGCTGTTTTGTTTGCTAAGCGAAGAGCCTCTCGATAGCCTTGTTCTTTATTAGTCCTGCCTATTAGTTACGTTCCCTCTTATATCTTTACGTTGGATAAATTGAACGCGAAACCGTCCCGTTATCATTGTACGCCTGTCAATGGCTATCAGTTTTAGAAGTTGCGTCATGGAATAATTAACGTATAGATAATATTGCTAATATTTGTTATCATCGTTTCAATTGAGGTTCAACGATAAAGCTTTGAATGGTAGAATTATTGAATTTATTTTCAAAGCATTGTACTGAAGGTTGAATTATTTTTATTAATAATTTTTTTTTCTTTTTCTAGTGATACCTTGAATGACACTGATTGTTTTGAGAATAATTATGGAAATTATGGATATTCTATATGGCGTTGGTACGGATATCATGGCGTATCGTGTCTCTCGGCGGAAACCTAAAACTGCTGGGTAATTACGGTTGGCCCGCGACTGAACTTGAACACAGGGAGCACGAAGGGCCCCTTTTTAGTTTCCGCCACGTGCCAGCACGTGTCTACGGCGTTCTGTAAAAAGGAAACTGACGCTGACGACCCGAAGTGTTGCTGATAGTCGGTGTTACTTACAAAAGGCTGCTTGCTGGATTTTATATGCTCAACACTTCAACATTCTATACTCGACGTACGCATAACCTAAGAGCTGTAGATTATCGACTCGCTGATTAAGTGATTAAAGACGTCATTTAGCAGTTCAGCACTGGCTGATCATTCCATGGTATGAATATGCGTTACCATTTCACACGTGACAAGGATAATGGTACTGTCTTTACACAAGTCTCTGAATACACCAGATGCACGTTTATTATTCCATTTCCAACCGAGAGGAATGAAGCTTAATCGATTTTGAAAAAAAATTTATACACAAAAGTAACAGCAACGTGCATTTCAATATTTGACGTGCACAAAACGTTATATTGGAAAAAGTTAATTTCTCTTCAGACGTAAAATTCGTCGAAATTGGTCCATTCTCCTTCAAGTACCCAAAAACCCATAATTACATAAATCCTTAATTTTTTTATTGCAAATTTATCTTATTCGAAAAAAAAAGCTCAAACCCACCGTACAATTTTACCATAGCTTTCGGCTTATTTCGTACTGACAATTATTATATTTCACAAACCATACTCAATTTTTGTAATGACAAAAAACAAGGAGTCAGGCAGCTGGTGTATTTTTTTCTTATATCCCTATGGATATGCTTACCCATGTTACGTATGTCAGACTCGCTGTTATACTCGTTCAGTTATGTTATTCTTATATAGTTACGTGAGTTTATGGCTTTGGCGACCTAGTCAGACATTTGAATTGTCAGTAACCACAGATAGTATCATAACTGGTACCCGACTGGTCTCATTCTTCTGTACCGTCTTAGTCGGTCTTCGGCCCCAAGGTAAAAGGTGCGGGACTGTCGGCTACCACCAAAACAGTAACCGTAATACCCGGTGTCCGAAGTAAGTACAGAGCGCGAACTATTCGGAATTGTTATCCCGAAGCCAAATGCAATCACGACACGTGGGATTTGGGACAGCTGCGCGCGTGCTGCGGATAGCTTAACATTGAAATATGCTAAGTGCTTTTGAAATGGCCAAAGAGTCTCCATAGTCCCGCGCATCTCTCTTGTCTCCCTCACTCTGTCTCTCTCTCTCTCTCTCTCTCTCTCTCTCTCTCGCTCGCTTACTCTTTTCCTCTCCCTCTTTATCTCCTCATATTCATTGCCCGCGGCACGAATATTTCACGAAGCATTTTTGCACACGATTTAACGTACCGCCGCTCTCATCGACGTTCTCATGTAAACGCGTCGTTCTTCCCCACACTTTTATTAGGAACGCGTCTTCACGGTGTCGCACGACCCGGGAATTTCATAACGACTACGGGAGTCAGCTGGGAATTAATATGTATCGTAGATATCATTTTAGGCGTATTATAATTTTATTGTTTACTCGATATATATTGGAATTGGTACGGTAATTATTGTCAGTGAGAAATTTGAGGTTATCGCAGACCGTCCACTCTGAGTCCAATGTCAAAATATTAACGTAGCAAGCCTGGGGATATGTAAAATTACGTTTTGGCGCTGTGCGCTATTGTTTTAATTATTTAATAAAATTATTATAATAATCTGACTAAACTGATATTAATATTTTGATATTGAATTCAAGCTCTTTTGTTTAACATAAAAATTATGTTCTCCTGAGTATGATCCTTTGAGGGATCATAACCGCCAAGATGGCAGATCGAAAGCACACGTGGTGGTTGGCCGCAAGCACCCTTTATGTGAGAGACGATACCGTCGCTTCGAGGGTGGGTCGAGCTTGGATAGTGAGCCGATAGCTTCAGGCTGATAGATGTTGGCTAATTATGTGGCCGAGTCTTGGCCTCGACTGGTCAGGAAGAGCAGCCCTTCCTTCCCTTCCTTCCCTTCCATCTTGACTCTCCCCACCCTCAGCGTGTATACATGTATAGTCAAATGCATTATATGCATATATATATATATATATATATATTGTATATGACTATCCATTGACATTTTTGAAAATATTGGAATATTTTTGTAATTTTTTAAAAATAATTTTTATATTAATATCGCTGCCAGTGGGCTCCGTGCAATGTCTGATGATTTAATTATTATGAATTTTATTAATGACCGCTTTATGGTTTTTAGGTGGCGATATGAAATTTTGTATTGTTTCTGCCCTTTCTACGCCAATGTGCTATCGCTGCACCAGTATATAATGGCAATGCCGTTTCTTAATTCCGCGAGTCGAGCTGCGAGAAAATTGCTCGCTTGCCGCTCTGATGGAGAGGAGAGGATGAAGCAGTTCCGTCCGAATGGCCATTAAATGGTCCAGCTAGAGAGATGGTAGTGATGCTGTGCAATGGCTGGTCTAGTAGTCGCGGTTTTTATTGGATAGGAAATTTAATTGGGTGCAGGAAGCATTGTTCGATGAATGCTGTATGATTAAAAATGAAAATTTTGAAACGGAGTCTTTCGAAAAATTACGTTTGATGATCGATTATTCATTTTCGTTATTGATAAAAAAAAATTACTCCATTCACATAAAATTTGTGGATTGGCGGATTTTTTTAGAAAAATTCTCGTCCTCGATTACGCCTGAAACTCGTGAAATATGTAGCACGTCTCTTCGTTCACCTTTACTGATAGCACTTTGTTCGCAGCTGGATGTATTTCCAAGTTGCGGCTGTTGTTTGTGTTTTATATTAGTAGTCAATTGTTGGAGTGGCAGCGCCAGTCAGCCTCTTTTTACTTCCAGCCTAAAGCCAAATTCAAGTCTCTCTCATCTGCTCTGGTGCTCTCTTTCTTTCCTTTGCTCCCCTATATATCTCTCTCTCCCTTTCTCTATCACAGTACCACGATTCCGTAGAAATTTTGCACAATGTAAAATTCATCCCCGGTAACACGACTGTGATTAGTATTAGAAATTTCTTTTTGCAAAAATCATTTATAACGTATAATAATCCGATACCAGGAAATGTCTATCAATTTTTTTTTTTTACACGGTCTACCAATAATTATTATTGGCACGAATCGAACCGCGTCCAGACTCCCTCGCGAAAGCCGCACGTAGGAGATCGCGTGCGGCTGGACCCGCAGCATCCGGCATTCTCTCGCCAAAAATCTATGAGTTCGCTAAGCTTTTAGTTTACGCGGAATCCATTATCTAGCCCATCCGTGGCATGGGAGTAAATTATACAGGGAAATATTTTAATAGCAAGACATCGGTAGTCAGTATATAGGTATCGCTGCCCTATTCCCATTGGCATATACACATAAAGTACATATATACATATATAAATTCATCAGAAAGCATTAATGTATAAAAGATCAATTTTGGATATCATGGCATTTTCTTAACCCTGGGAGGCGATGCCTTCCCCCAAATCTGTACTAAGTATCGAAATATTAAATCTT